CCCCAAAACCCCAAAACCCCTCATTTCGATGCATCGATAAAAATTGTGTATATCAAAAATATATTTTATAATTCTTCATTGCCTTTAATCAATGAAAATGACATAAATATGTTTTATGATCATAACAACCATGAATTTTTTTATATTATTTCATGATAGTCCAACTTTAATATTCTTGAATCTTATCAACTTTAAGAAATTATTTGCTCACTTTTTGAATAAATAATTCATTCATTCATAAATCAAATCAACCACATGAACATTTTGATTTGCATTAAATAATTTTTTATCAAAATGCAAATCTTTTACCCTTAAGACAAAAGTTTTTTCTCTATTTTTCAAAAATCCCCTAAAATCCAAAGTTTTTTATTCGCAATTCAAATGTCTAATTTCTAACTCCTCAACAAAACAAGAATCACTAGCAAGCCAATTGTCTAAACTAATTAGTGAAATTTTAATTCTATCATTAACTAATTCATCATCGATAAATAAATTAAGAAGTCTTAGAGAACTTAATTTCTTAAGGCAAATATCTGCTAGCTTATCTATTTCTAAAAGATTATAAAGTTTAATGTTAATTTTTAGATTTCTTAACTCTGTAAAATTTGATAGAGTCTCAAAAATCAGCAACTAATTTTGACTATAAGAAAGCTTATTCTCAACTTTTTTGAATTCGTCAATTTAGTCTGAAAAAAATCTAGCAATGTGAGCAATACTATTATTTGCTTCTTGAACTCTATAATATTTCTAATCTTCTGATTCAATATAATGCTATTGATTTACCTAGATGTTTAATTGTCTTAAACAATGCTCACAATATTTCAAATTCTTTAATACTTGGAGGATAGTTATCATGTTAATCCTACATTTACTTAAATCCAACTCAACATAATTGTTTGGTAGATCTGTCTAGATATTGCTATATAATTTTATATTGGTGTTCTCAAATACCCCTATATTTCCAAATTAAGTTTAAAAATTAAGATATCCTGTTATGAATTTTATATTGATTTCATTGTCCAAAATTATATAGGAAACTCTCAAGGATTTTAGATTTTGAAAGATTCGAATGACACTAAGATTGAAAAATCTCTCAATTTTATCGTTGTAATGCCTGAATTAGATATCAAGTGACTCAGTAATACTTTCTATGTCATAATAAATTATAGGTTTAATTGATTGGTTATTTTTTTATGTTTCTTAGCAATTTATTGATAACTTCAGGTGTTGCACTTTTAATGACATTAATCTAAAAATCTCTAACAGATTTTCTTAATCAAAAATTTAGAGATTAACCTAGAATTCCAAGTACTAAAGTTTCCTAACAAGCAAAAAGTATTCAATCCCACTCTAGTACTTTTACCCTTTGGGTTGAAATTCTTTAAAAATATAATTCCTTGACAATGAAGTCCTCTCTGTTATTATAGATAGTCTTTATATATTTTATGATTCAGTAGACTACAGAAATTCATCAATATCCAGACCATTATTCAGTTGTAGTCTAAGATCTGTAATTTAAGATTGATTTATGAAGGTTATTAGAGTTTATTGATTTGCTATATCTGCCTCAAATATCACCAGCTTCTTGATAAAGGAAGGGTTAATTTCAAATAAAAGAAATTCTAACATTTTCGAAGAGGGCTTGATCAGTTTGAGCGAAGTTAAAGTTTGAGATATTTTGATATATTTATTAGGATTGCTTAAAAGGCTGTCTCGATCCAGTTTTATGGTCAAACTTTTTAAGTTGGTTAAATCCTACATAAATTCTAACCCATCAAGAATGTCTTCTAATATATGTAGCTTTTAAATTCTAGTAAATTAACATCCGAAACTACAGTTCTCACTCATCCATTTATCTTGGTATAGTTTATTAAGCACTAAATTATGCTTGATAATATAGCTTTCTAGATCTGCACCTCTTCCGACAACATCTATATGTGTCAAGCATTGCTTTGGATCTGGAATTATAGCCAACTCCTTATTGCCTGGATTTGAAGTTGATTCGATTTTTATTATGCCCTTTACATACCTCTTACCAATATTGCTGTTGATTTGCTTAAGCATTTTAATTAGGAATATTCTAGTTTGTTTATTAGTTCTCCAGAGCAGTCTCTTTGTTTCATTTATTCCATTCGATGCCAAAATATCAATGAATATGTATCTATTCAAAATTTTTCCTAGTTTAAATAAACTATTTTCCATATTTTGTTTTAGAGACTATTATATTTAATTAAATGAGAAGAATTCATTGAATATATACTTATAATTTTATCTGATAAAATCTATTAATTATATTTCACGGGGTTTTGGGGTTTTGGGGTTTTG